ATCAATAAATACAATCAGAGTGGACCTGGACTGAATCTTAGCATTAAAATACAGTTTAACTGATTTTAAAAAAAAAGCCTCAATAATAAATAATGTCATCACTAAATGATTGCTAACGTTAGCTGATAGACAACTAGCAGCAAGCTAAGTTTTCATAAGAAAAATAACTGTCCTGTTGACTTATTTTTGGTTCTTTGTAAAGAATAAAGTTTTTCCAGGAGCTGGGCGTTATCAGACCATCCAGTAGCTCTGAAGCTCTGACCACCACGTTGTTTTACAGCAGGCAGCTAGCGCCCCCACCCCCTCCATCCCACCCGCACCCCCGCGCGCGCAGACGCGCGTGTCTGCGCGCGCGAGTGTGTGTCTGCACTTCAGAGCAAAGGAAGGGAGGGGGTGAGGGGGAAGGTGTCGAAGGCTCGCAGTAGAGCTCCTGGAAAAAGGTAGACACAGCAGCTGCTGCCGGCCTGAAGCGCGTTACTGTCGGGAAATATAGATGCACGCAAAGGAAAAAAAAAAAAAAAGATGTGCGAATGTTGGTGGGGACTGTCCCTGTCCAGAAAGTTACGCCCTTGGCATCTGTCACAAGCTCCCATTCAAGTGAAATTTAAACGATCCTAATCCTTTTATCACCTTGCAGAAGTTCCGACATAAAATCTGAATCTGCTTTCACCAAATGGAGACAAGAAGTCACTTTAATTGGTTTACAAACATGTAAATATGCATTCTGTAGGAAAAGTTTTTAAACTTAGATCTGAAACTTGAAAACGAAGAAATGACCCAAATCCTTGCAAAAGAGATCTGTGATCTCAAATAAATGTTATTAAATAAACACAAACAAAAACAAGCACAATTGATAGTACACAAGTCTTACTCAGTCTGTGCACAATGAATGCGTAATAATAATTGTTATGATAATTGTTATTAAGGTTTATGAAGCATGAAGTGCTCTTTACCTGTACTGGTCAAACTTTGCATATTTCCTCCACTCGTGAGGCTTGCTCTCATATGATTCCATGATATTCTGCACCTCCTCCACATTGATGTTGTCATTCTCGAAGATTTCATGGAGGATTTTGATCAGCTCATCCAGAGTTTCAGGTTTCACCACCTCGGTTTGCTCCATCTTTCTGCTGCAGGAGGATAGTCTCTCTGTCACTTGCTGTCGGTTTATTACTCCTTTTCTTTTTTTTACCTGCTTCTTCTCTTGCTTCGCACAGTCGATCACTTTTATAGCCTGGCAAAGCAATTTAGAGACGTACAGCTGAAGGACTGTACCATTATGGAGGGAGGGGGAAAAAAAGGAGGAAAAAAAAAAACGCCCCCCAAATGAAAAGGCTCGTTTGACTGAAGTTTGTCCTCAGTGTGTGTGTCGACGTGTGATAAAAAAAAAAAAGAACCACGTCAGCATTTCTCAGCGTTTCCCTTGAAATCTGTGTAGTTTTAAAATGAAAACAAGGCTTTTGTTTTGCTCATTAACAACTTGGACTAATCCTTTGAGTCCAATTCCACCAAGTTGTCAAC